TTTACACCGAATTGGAATATTTTAACTTTTTAGCATCTTAAAGTAAATTAGTTACCAGTCGTGAAGTGAACTTTCGCAGAGGTGAACAACTTGTGTTTCGCGCGCTCATATGACCTTAGCAGTTGCGAGCGCCGTAAAGCCTTATACTATACATACATTTTAGAAGTACAACCGAACCTGTCACACCAACCACTTATTGCCGAGTTGGAATAATCTGAAAACAGATGGTCCTCGTGGACAAGGTGATTAGAATATTATTATAGAACAAAGATGCAAGAAAGGAAGTGGTATGATAAACTGTCGAGGGTGCCATTTAAAAAGCTCGGATCAACCGTACGAAGAGGTGGGGAAGTTGTCGTTTTTATAAGGGATTGTTTAGACAGGTGGCCGTCAGAGTAGGTTTGACAATATGGTCTTATTTGAAACCCTTTCAGGACCTGGAAGTGAACGCTTTTGAGCTGAGGGAGGCCATAAATGAAGAGCTGAAAAAAGGTAGGAATATCGTTGTGGATACAAGTCTAAGCGATTCCATCCCGAGAATCCTCGTGCATGTTTCGGCCAGAATGTTTTGCTATTGTTGTGCTTAGATTTATTTAAATGTCATTGTTTTGAATTTATTATCCACAATAATTTTTGTTCGTGTTCCTAGTAGGGTTTCCATGGTTACTGTCACGACCTTTCAGAATTTCTACTTAAAAAGGGCTTTCAGGTATTCAAGGCCTCTTTTATTCTAATTTTGCATTGTACGAATTGTCTTACTTTTTTCAACATAGCCAAAACGGAGTAGATAGTGCCGTAAAACACCTAATCAATTACTTTTTCCCCCAACAGAGAATATCAATATCAGTACAGATGCCTGCAAAAGTTTCATCACCTTGATGGCTGTATCCTTTTATCTCTTGAACAGATGCTTCATTTGAAGCAATCGCTACATTTGAAGAGATGTTGTCCGAATTCTGTCACTTAATAGATTTGTTTCTGGGATTAAAAGGAAAAGTAAAATGTTATCCCCAGTTCATAAGATACGGAAAGATACTATAACGGAAAGATACTATAACGGAAAGATACTATAACGGAAAGATACTATAACGGAAAGATACTAT